ACGGCAGGAGAAGTGCAAAAACGCATAATCGCACCGGCTCGCCTGGTGCGTTCCAGCCTGGGTTACTCCCCGTTGTAACGATTATTCAAAAAATAAGTTAAAATACCTTTTGAAATGCTAAAATATTAAATTTCAACCGTTCTGTTGAGGAACTGTTTTTTTTTTTTGGAGTGAGGTAGGGGGTGAGGGGACTCGAGCTTGAGAGTAAGCGCCATCTATAGTTTCGTCAAGCCCGCCAGCAATTCACATTTACTATGCAGTAAAAAGTTTATGAAATCTGTCGTGGCATAGCACAAATAAAGTTTTTTTTTTATTTTTTTTTGTTTTTTTATTGATTTTTTATTTTTATATTTTATTAAAAATATTTTTTTACTGAGCTAGTTTTGTTAGTCATACCCTATATTTTGCGAAATTCCTACAGTTTCATTGGATCAAATGTTTAAGTTTATACATACATACATCTGCATTTTTCAGTACATATCCTTATCCAAGTATGAGCAGATTTTGCTCGCACAACTGGGACTAAATGATAAGGAACTTATCAAGTGTTTCATTCTTCGACCAAAACTGGTAAAATTTGAGTTTGGAAATTTTTTTTTGTCCAATCATTTTTGAAAGAACTTTCAATTTCATGGAATTTTCTACGGGCCAAAAAAATTAGTGCTTTCATAAACTTCTTTTTTAGAAAGAGGGCGAAGCACCGATGCGTCTGTATATTTCGCTGATGCTTCACAGACTCTGGAAACAGGAGACGTTGTACGATGTTGCGGAGCGTTTTCATGTATCACGAGGTTGGCTGCAAAATGCACTACAAGCGACATACTCACAAGCCTCGTCCATAATCCGTTTTGCAGAGGTAAGCCATTAACCACTTGGTTCTGCATTTTATTCATGATATTTGATTAAATATAGCTATTTAAATAAAATTTAGTTATTATTTTCTTCTACACAGACGGGGCCGTACGTGGGAACCACGCATAACTGAGGGCTTTATTTGAAATCTTTGAGTTCTACACAGACGGGGAACACCCCTCAAAATTTCAGCCTCCCAGCTTTTCTAGTTCCCGAGTTAGCCATTTTCTTGCTAACGCAGGATAAATGTTATATCCTAGCAACATCCATAGGCTGATTCAGGAAAGATTCCTGGGAGAGAGGGGGAAGGAGGGACAGGTGTGGTAAGGTTCAGCTCCTGGAGGAAGGCGACGAAGTGTGGGAAGGAGAGTTCCCTCCCACCTTGAAACTATGCAAAAACTAGGAATGGAGTTGTAACGCTGCTAATTAGAGTTACTTTGGGCTTTAGTTTACTTTAGTTTCAGCTTTAGACCCGGGCTTTTTGGAACACTGATGCCCATGCCGAAAGACCCATCACCTCTCGCTCTCCCCCTCCGCAGCATGAATCCGCCTATGATAACATTACTAGCATAAAATACGAACTCTGATAGCCCAAGCAATTTTAGTATTCTCACTATTTTTTGAATATTCTCGCTAGCCTTTTCAGAAAATCACATCGCTTTGGCCTTTGAAAGATCTTTTACCTAAATTGATACAACACCTACGGGATTGTTCGGAGCAGGAATTGGTACCTTTACTCGCATTGGATGGAGTCAAAAGAGCACGGGCTCGACAACTTTATAATGCAGGTTGGTAGCGGAATTTTTTTTTTAATTTTAGAACTAGAAGAATAGAAGGATTTCACTTGAATGTCACGTGTACGAAGATATTTTATGATGCATTCTGTGTTTCATCCCTTAGCTGTATATATAGACCGAACTATGCATGCGGGTAGGAGCAGGAATCATCGTACAACCTTCTCCCCACCATGTTTTGAATAGTCATGTAACTAATTTGCAAGACGGATAAGTTAAAAAAAGAGATATAAGTGAAGGAGCAAATAAAGTGAGAGAGAAAGGAAAGAAGGGAAGTTAATACGTGAAACTGCATTATTTATAGCTCTTCTTTTTTTTAGCTAAAAAATGATTTAAACAATTACAGTGAATAAAAACTTTATGATATTTTATTCAAAATTTTTTTAAAAAAATTTTCACAGCTTAAGGTTTCAAAACA